GCCCTCCCCCTGCGGGACCCGGTGCACGGGGGTCCGCGGAGTCCCCGCCACCAGCGGCGCTTAGAACTGTTTTCGGCCAGGCTGTGTCGGGCAGAGAACCTCCAGCGAGAGGAATCTTTGTGAGAGAGTGGGTGAGAGGGAGAGGGAGCGGGAGCCAGTGAGTCCGGGCACCGGTGGGCCCAAACTTTGAGGGGGCCCACTGGGAATCCGCTGCCCTACGGGCCAAGACCCCCGCCCTGGAGGGACTTCTGGCCTCAGGCACTCTGGGGCCCCCCATCCAAGGAACACCCCCGCAAGGATACGTCTCCATATCCAGACCCGCTCTGGGACACACCCAGAGACACACAAAGAATCACACTGGCTTGTGGCCCGTCACCCTCGCCCTCAAACTCGCGCACACTGCATCCCAGATGCACATTCGCACACCATCGCGGACGCACACATTCCATCCCCGACACACATTCATGGTCACACACATCCCACAGGGGAGGCGACCCAGGGGCACAGAGGCAGGCACCACTCGCCCCAGACGTTCAGTCACTCCACGCACCCCATCCAGGCGCACGGGCCACCCCGGGGGTCGCCGGGCACACACGGCTCCCAGGCTCACCCACCCTGTGCTGGGCTGTTTGCGGGCTGCCTGTAGGGCTCCTCCGGGAAGGGGCAGAGTGCGGGCATCCTCTAGGGGCACTTGCTGAAAGCCTAGCTCGCCCCTGGCATCTGAGCAGGTGAGGGGCCACCTCGGGCCCTCCCAGGGCCCCTGACGGCTCTCCCAGGCGGTGGGCAGCGCCTGTGAGTGCCACTGTGAGCGCCAAGCTTTGTTTTCAGCCAGTAGAGCAGCAGGCAAAGGTGTGTGGGGGTGAGGGGGGGTGTTGTAAGTGTGTTTTTTCCTTTAAGGGGGGAAGAAATTAAATAAAAGATTCTCACACCTCGGCAATATGTTTCTACTTACAGTGTGTCTTAGCACCTGACCAGCAGGCGGGTGGGTCGTAAAGTGTCTGCAGGTACCAGCAGGACGGGAGATGGGGACCCCCGTGGGGACCCTGAGATGGAGGCCACCCTTCCTCCCTGGTTGCAGAGAATCTCACACTTTTCCCTTTTAAAACACATGGTGTTCCTTTTTAATAACGGCAGTGGCTCCAGATTGGGAAAAGAGGAGAGAAAAAACTTTTAAAGGCCCCAGCTCTGCGGGAAAGGAGGGGAGGCAGGGAGTGAAAAGGGGGCTGTTCAAAAGCCAACCTAGGGATCTGCTTTGGGGAGCCCTCTAGGAGGCCCTCCAAACCAAGCTAAGCCCCCACCAACTCCAGCTCAGTGGGCTGTTCCCAGCTGCTCCCCCGCCTGGCCTGGAATGCGTGCGTCCCTGTCCCCAGTGCCTTAGCCCATTGTTTGTGGAGGCCTGGAGGGAGTGCCTAGTCTGCCGGGACCCCAGAGCTGGGAGGGGCTGTCATCTTTGTGGTTCCTGGGGGCTGCAGGCTTCTAAGCCCTCTGGACATTCGATTGCAATCACATCTCATTGATCTCCCCAGCAAGTAGAATGTATTTCTCCTCCCATTTTATGGAGGAGAAAATTGAGAACTGGAGAGGGGAAGTCAATTGCCCAGGTTCTCCCACTGGGGTTGCACCCATATCCTGGGAGGAGAAAGTGTCCTTCTGACCTTACCGGCTGGGGCTAAGAGGGTGGGAGACTGGCCTGTCCAGGCCCGCCTGGCCTTGCCTTCCCCCCCACAACCGGTCACCGCTCCGTGTCCCCCGCCCAGCCCCGGGAGGGCAGCTGCAGCTGCTGGCAAGTGAGCCACGCCAGCCCAGGCCAGGCGGGTGTGGCAGAGGGGCAGTGCCCCCCAGCCAGGACCCCCCAGAGAGCCCCTTCCTGGCCAGGCCATGGTGGCGGGTGTGGAGGCCGGAGGGGCGAGTCCCACTCTACGAGGGCTGAGAGGGGCCTGGGGTCTGGGCAGGCCTAGCCGTGCCTCCCACTCTGTTGGGGGGGCCCAGGCAGGAAGCGGTGGGTGGGCCAGGGCAGAGACGCTGGCACGCCCGAGTTCATGCAGAAGGAATTCCGAATTAGCGGGCGGCTGGCTGCCTGGGA